GAGCCACCAGCGCCTGGCCTGGATGAATATTAAAGAGGGTAAAAATTACCCACACAAGATGACAGCTGATGGATGGTGATGAGCCGGGATACCAGCGTAGTAACAGGAAGGCAAAACCATGAAGATAGGAGTGGAGAAAAGGAACAGTAGCTGTGAAGTCGGGGAGAGTGCTGGCCTACGGCATGGTGAAGGTTATGGCATATTTGGCAACTCACTATCAACATCTTCTCATGTTTGCTTTCCTTAACTCTACTTTTCAATCCATTCTGACAGAGAGCATTCTTATAAAGCCTTCCTCTGTCTCCTGTAGATAAAAAGAAATTCACTTCAGTTCATGACCTTCCTGAGAAAGAGATTGCTGGCCTTGAAGAGTCTGGTTGAGTTATGGCTAGAGGGGTGATACGGAGAGATGTCATCTCTTTGGATTTTCTTCTTGATACGGAGTTATCTGATTGTTTCCTGGAAATTCTTTTTTCCTGTCCTAGTTGTTTGATAAATCTTAAAAAATACAGGCTAGAGGTACAACAGGAGAAATTGCGCTTAGCATGTGCAAGATGCCCTGGGTTCAATCTCCAACCCACATACACATGCACACACACAAGGCCTAATGATGATAAATAACCAAAATAGAAATAATGCATTCCATTTTTTCAAAGAGATTACATCTCTTTGAGCCAAAGTCCTGCTTGTGTATTGCTGTTTGCAATATAAATACATATATGTACACTGGGCCCTTAAAAAAATGTCATTGTTAGTCAAGTGCCAGTGGCTCACTCCTGTAATCCTAGCTACTCAGGAGGCTGAGATCTGAGGAAACTGTCCATGAGACTGTTATCTCCAATAAACCACCAGAAAACTGGAAGTGGTGCTGTGGCTCCAGTGGTAGAGTGCGTGCCTTGAGATAAAGAGTACAGGGACAGCGCCCAGACCCAGAGTTCAAGCCCCATGACAGGCAAAAATAGACGTCATTGTTACGGTAGCATATTTGAGTTTTGTTTTCATCACTCATGATTAATAACCAATTGTGATCCTCAAAAACCAGATGTGCACTTTAAAAAGCAACATGGAGAATTCAAAACAACTTCTGTATGTTTTTGTAATGCTGATTTGGACCTTGTGTGGTTTGGGTTGATTTGCCTTTTTTTTGTTGTTGTTGGTCATGGGGCCTGAACTCTGGGCCTGGGCACTATCTCAGCTCTTCAGCTCAAGGCTAGTGTTCTACCACTTGAGCCACAACGCCACTTCCAGATTTTTCTGCTTATGTGGTGCTGAGAAATCGAACCCAGGGCCTCATGCATGCAAGGCAAGCGCTCTACCACTGAGCCACCTTCCCAGCCCTGATTTCCCTTTTTTTGGGGGTCAGTTGTGGGGCTTGAACTCTGAGCTTGGGCGCTGTCCCTGTGCTCTTCAGCTCAAGGCGAGCGCTCTACCACTTGTGTCACAGAGCCACTTCTGGTTTTCTAATGGTTTATTGGAGATAAGAGTCTCACGGACTTTCCTGCCCAGGCTGGCTTTGAACCATGATCCTCAGATCTCAGCCTCCTGAGTAGCTAGGATTACAGGGGTGAGCCACCTACACCCTGCTGATTTCCCCTTATTATGGCTTCTGCCTGAGATGGTGGCTTATAAGCAATCTTATGTTATGAGGCACAGCTGTCCCTTCTCACAGTGCATCCAAACTAAACTGATGGAACAAGCAACTTAACTCTTCAGGATACTGACCTTGGTTCAGAGAAGTCTGCCACTCACTGAGTAGCCTTGGATGATCCACCAAGGTACCCTGGATCTCCGGGTCATGTGGGGGTAAATAGAGCTTTTGAAACAAGCGCAGAGCATGCATGTGAGCAGTGATGAACAGCTCCACTGGATGGTGCTCAACAGAATTAGCTTGAATAAAAAATTCCTATGGGTCTTGAAGGCATGGTAAAGGTGGTAGAGCACCATGCAATGAGTAAAATGTCAGATACTCAGTTTGAGTGTGTGTGTGTGTGCGAGCAAATGCACATGTGTATAGTGGGGCATGAACTCAGGACCTTGTTCTCTTCATTGGCTTTCTTGCTCAAGTCTGGTGTTGTACAACCTGAGACACACCACTTCTGGCTTTTTACTGGTTATTTGAAGATAACAGAGTCTCCCAGATTTATCTGCTGATTCACTTGGAACCCTCTCAGCTCTCAGGTTCATGAATAGCTAGCCAGCACCTAGACTGATGCTTAGTGTGCAAGAGTATTTTCATTGTATTTCACAGACTGCTACATGATTGGTAATATTCAGTTTTCTGTTAAGATGCATTCAATATATGTTGAGTAAGCAAAAAATTAAGGGAATGAAGAAATGAATTAATGATGACTTAAGCCTATTTGTTATCTAAACTAGCAAGACTAAGAAGTAAGTTGCAAAGGATTTGCATGCCAAAGGAGGAGTTTTATCAGCTCAGTATGTAATCTTTGTCTCAGTAACTGAGTTTAGGGATAGAGGAAAAAGGAACAAAAAATTTACTTTGTGGTCTGGCAGGTGACTAACTCTGACCCAGATTCTATCATGTTAGCACACAAAGGAGCTCAGTTAACAGTTCGGTGAATGAACACATTAATGAAGTTACTAAACTGAGGATGGTTATAGAATGGCCTATCAAGGGAGGATCAGAGCAGGGCACCTGCTGTCATCAAAAGGAGCCAGGATGCACACTGGCCTCAAAAAATCTCCCTCTCCTTACCTCCTTGTAAGCCTCCTACATTTCCGTTAAGAAAGATGTGATAAGCTGGCACCAGTGGCTCACACCTCTAATCCTAGCTACTCAGGAGGCTGAGATTGAGGGTTGTGGTCCAGTAAACCATTCAAAAACTGTAAGTGGTGCTCTGGCTCAAGTGGTAGAGTGCTAGCCTTGAGCAAAAGAGCTCAGGGACAGTGCTCAGACCCTGAGTTCAAACCCTATGACTAACATCTTTTTTTTTCCTTCCTTCCTTTCCCTCCCTCCCTCCTCTTTCTTTCCTTCCTTCCTTCCTCTCTCCCCCCTTTTTTCTTTTCTTAGTAAGGGCAATGTTACTATAGAGACCAGGCGAGCCTAGAACTAAGATCCTCCAGACCTCTGAGTGCTGGGATTACAGGTGTGCACCACCAAGCCTAGTGAAATATTAAGCAGCAATCATTTCAACTCAAGCTTAAAATGCTAAACCATGATCTAAATAAAGCCCCACAAACCCCCATATGAACACACTGATCAAACCTTTCGTCACCTCTACTTGGTTATTGATTCTTTGCCTCTCATGCACTACACTTAACCCTCTAGCAAGCCCTGGGGTTTTGCTCCTGCACATATCCATCTCCATCCCTACCCCACTACCCTACTCTCCCTAAGTCTCTCACTTGGACTAATCTTTTTTTTTTTTTTTTGCCAGTCTGGGGTTTGAACTCCCTGGGCACTGTCTTTGAGCTTCTTTTTTTGTTCAAGGCTAGCCCTCTACCACTTGAGCCATGGCACCACTTCCAGATTTTTCTGTGTATGTGATACTGAGGAATTGAACCCAGGGTTTCATGCATGTTAGGCAAGCACTCTACCACCAAGCCACATTCCTTGAATTAATAATAAAAACTAGTTTCTCTCTCTCTGCTTCTCTTCTGCTCTTCTACTCTTCCATCTTCTCTCCCCATAGGAACCATTAGCCATTCTCCCCTTAAAAACTCCACATTCACATCATGCCAGCGCAAGTCTTTAGCATTACCTACAAGGTTATCTTGACTTTCTATGGCTGGCTCATCCCATCCCTTAATCTTCTTCAGCCTTACCATAGTATTCTTTATTTGAAGTGTTGGGGTTTGACCTCTGCACTTTAGGCTTGCTAGGCACCCACCTGGCTTTACTACTTGAGCCACTTCCCTAGCCCTTTTTAATTTTTTCAGTTAGCACCAATTTGCCTGGGGCCAGCCGCAGAGATCTTCCTACTTAGGCCTCCTTTGTAGCCAGGATCACAGGTATCTATCACTATACCCAGATAGGTGGTGGAAATGGGTCTTGCTCTTGCTAACTTTTTGCCTAGTACGGCTTTTAACCTTGATCCTCCTGATATCCACTTTCTGGGCAGCTAGAATTACAGGTGTGAGCCACTAGGCTCAGCCAAGCTAATACTTTTTTTTTGTACTGGGCTTGAACTATGACCTGGGCACTGTCCTTTTCACTTCTGGCTTTTTGGTGGCTAATTGGAAATAAGAATCTCACTGACTTTCCTGGCTGTGATACTCAGCCGCTGAGTAACCAGGATTACGGGGATGAGCAACCAGTGCCCAGCTCTTTTTTAAAAATTTTTCCCTGGTTTCTGGGACTTGAATTCAGTTCTTCTAACTCTTACTCAGCTTGTTAACTTACAGCTGGCATGCTACCACGAACACCTCCACTGGCTTATTGCTGATTAGCTAGGGGTGTGGTGTTGAGGACTTGTCTGCCTGTGCTAGTTTTAATACGTGATCTTCCAGGTCTTAGTCTCCTGAGTAGCTAGGATTACTGGTATAAACCACTGAGCTTAGCCAAGTTAATACCTTTGAAGTATCAAGAAGACCAATTTTTACAAAACAAAAGAAAAATCAAGTTTTTCTTAGTTGAAATAAGTCAGTTTATTATATTTCCAAGGCCTTTACCCTATAGTTAATATAAACCATTTTACAACTTTACAACAATATAACTTAGTTTTTAGTATTTTGAAAAGGGGAAGATTTCTTTGGAAAGAATAACTATAGGAAGTTACTATTTCAAATTTAGTACAGTAACAGGTTTGTCTACCAGGTATATCACCCAGTATTTTTTCTTGTGAGAAAGCTAGCAAATATCAACCACCAAATAATCTATATTTAGAAATAGAAGCAAGAAATATTTATCTATATCTACATATGTATTATTATATGTATGTATATAACAATACGTATGTAACATACATGTTATTATTTTTTTTCTGTTTGAGACAGATCTCAATATGTAGCTCAGGTTGGCTTTGAACTCACTATATAGCCAGGCTGGTCTCAAACTCTAGATCTCCCTGCCTCTGCCCCCCCAAGATCCGAGATTACAGGCATGCAATACCATGCCTAGCACAGGGAATGCTTCTATTTAAATAGGAAACAAGCAATATAAAGTGCAAATCACATGTCACTTGAACAAGACAATTTACATAATCACGTATAAATTATTAACTTTCTATTGCTGAGGTGGTCTGGCTGTACCCCACATTACACTGTACTCATCTGGCCCTGAGGGGAAGTGTCACAATGGAATTGGGTCTGCCTGAATACAGGGGGAAAATAAGTCATCAGTAGAGCATATTTTCTATCTTAAAAAAAAAAATTAAGTCAGGGCCATCTTGGTTCTGAATCTCTCCATTTTTGTTGGGAGAAGACTGACCATCTCTTTACTAAGTTCCAGCTCAACTTCGATTTCCTGGGCCGCCTCAGGGTGCTTTTCACAGTAATCGACAATAAATTTGTAATGCTCCAATGATGTTGCCAAATTCTCTAGCTCTTTCTTGGGATCAGCAGTGATGATTTTGCCATAGAGACGAGCAACGCGGAACTTAGCGAGCATGGCGGGGCGAAGAACATCCTCCCCTAGATGCTCAGGAAATACTTTATTTGGGTCCCTCAGGGAGTCTAAGAAGAGCTGGTAGTACTTCAGCGCTGACTTATTAAGGTTATTTATTTTTTTTACAATGTGTGAATCAGGATCCCTCAGCTTGTCAGCAATGGCAACCTTCAAATCCATCATATCATAATAAGCATGTGCAATCTCAAACTGAATCTGCCTGTTGATCAATAGGTAATACTGTGGATTCAGGTCCACCGTGAGGGGCTCTAACATAGCTATTCTGCGTTTATGCATCTTGCACCGTCTCTCCATGTCAGTTTCAAAGAAGGCCAGGACCTTGAACAGAGCGCTGTGGTCTTGGACAACTTCAATATGGTCAGTGACATACCCATCAATTTGGAAGAACTCTTTTGCCTCAGAGACATAGTGCTGACCGAGTAAGAAAAGTTCTCTGGCTTCTTCAAAGTCTAAAGGTCTCAAATATCTCACTTTCTCCTCCACTGCTGAGATGGCATCACACAGCTCCCCTGTTCCAAACTGCACAGCTTTCTTCCTGATGCTCTCTTCCTCATCTAGTTCCTTTTTCCTTAAAGCACGAAGTTCAGATTGTTTGTCAAAATCCAGCTCGCCTATGTTGTCCTGAAAGAGGTAAGTTATGGTTAAGTAGGATATTTATTTCCTGCTGTCCAATAAAATTTAAAAAGCAAAGCTAGATATAAAGAAAACTCAGGGCTGGGAAGGTGGCTCAGTGGTAGAGCGCTTGGTAGAGCGCTTGTCTTGCATGCATGAGGCCCTGGGTTTGATTCCTCAGTACCACATAAGCAAAAAGAAAAAAACCAGAAGTGGCGCTGTGGCTCAAGTGTAGAGCGCTAGCCTTGAGTTGAAGAGCTGAGGGACAGCACTCAGGCCCAGAGTTCAAGCCCCACAACCGACCAAAAATAAGTAAATAAAATAAAAAATAAAAATTTAAAAAATGAATAGAGGGGCTGGGAAGGTGGCTCAGTGGTAGAGCGCTTGCCTTGCATGCATGAGACCCTGGGTTCGATTCCTCAGTACCATAGAAGCAAAAAGAAAAAAGCCAGAAGTGGCACTGTGGCTCAAGTGGTAGAGCGCTAGCCTCGAGCTGAAGAGCTGAGGGACAGCGCCCAGGCCCAGAGTTCA